CCACTGCACAACTGCCTTGCCCTGCATCAGCTTCCCCCACCAGGATGCTGTGAGCCATCCAAGCCATCCTCGGGTCCCGCCAGGCTTTGCCACCAGTCCCAGGGCACTGCTGGAAAAGCAGAACGGGGACTTTGTCCCCTCTGTGTTTTCAAAACCCTCTTTCCCAGAGCCCCTGTGAGCCTGCAGAAAGGTGTTTACATCCAGCCTCATCCATCCCGGCAAAGACATCAGGGTCCAGCCCTGGGCCCGGTGCAGCCTGTGTGGGGTTTGCTCTGGTACCTCCATCCCCTCAGCTATAAACCCCATAAAAATCAGTGTAGAAGGGGCAGGGAGCCCCTGAGCTGTCCTTATCTCTGCCCTGATGCCGTCCCCATCCCCTCCAGGGACCTGCTATACCAGGGATGAAGCTCCCTGCCCAAGTGCAGCGCCCATGAGATTTCTCATCCATGTGAGCTCCTAGAAGCACATTTGGGAACCTGCTTTCTCCCAAACTTCAGAGGTTCATTCATTGCTATGCAGGGCAAGTCCATTCCCTACTCTCCTCCATCCCATCTCCCCCTTCTCCCCCCTCACTCCTCCAGCCATCCCAGGCTGAAATGTTACAACAGGCTGAATTTATCCCATTGAAGAGGGGGATAAGGGGGGAAATAATAATAATAATATAAAAAGAGAAATCTGGGGCTGGAAGAAGAACCTGTGAGCTGTGACCTCCTCAAAGCCAGCACCAAACCCACATAGGGAAAACAAAAGCAGCGAGATTTGCATTTCCAAACAGAGCAGAGATGGCCCCAGTCTTGGAGCTGTTGATTCTGGGGTTGATTTTCAATATTTAGGATGATTAGCAAGTGAAAGGCAGCTCTTGCCAGAAGGCTCTGGGCCAGCCCTGCACTCAATGCACAGCAAAGAAAGACCCGGCAAGAAAAGGAGAGAAAAGAAGGGCTTATGTGTATATTTTTCTCCCTCTCTGTGAACGGGAGATTGGGTTGAGGTGGCAATGTTTGCCCATTGGGAAGGGATGATGGATGGAGGAGGGAATGGCTGCAGGAATAGCAGAAAGAAATAATAAAGGAATAATTGCCCTGGGTTTAATAACAAGCTAGGAAGGAGCTGTGGAGGCTGCAGGGAGGATTTGGAGCTGAGTCCTTCAGACCTGCTTTGGTGGGTGCCGGTGGTGGGATGCCCCCAAAGGCTCTGGGTTTTCACTTCACACACGCAGAGCATGGGGGACACCAGCAGCTTGGGGGTCCCCAGCCCATCCCTGTGGTGCTGGGTGAGCTGGGGCAGGGCTGGAGCAGCACTGGGCAGGGCTGGAGCAGCCCCGCTGCCGCCGGCAAGCCTGGGCAGGCCAGGGCCTGACCTCTCTCTTGGCACCGGGCTCCAGCCCAGCACACACGGGCTTTGTGCGGGCAGCAGCGTGGTGTCCTGCCTGCCCCAGGGCTCCCACCCCAGAGCTGCACCTCCTGCCTGCTGCTTGCAGCATCACCCCCACACCAAACCAGCTCCCTGAAAGCAAAACTTCACGTTCCAGTTGGTTTTGTTGCTTTCAGAAGCTGAACAAAACGAGGTTGTTTCAGGCCTCGCCTGGTGCCTCCTTTATATTCACCCTTTCTCGCTTTAAAACCCTCGACTGGCTCCGGCAGGCTGGAATATTTTCTCCTGGCAGGGTGGTGATTTCCAGTCCCCTGGCACAGGGGGGTTGGGAGGGGTGCTGGGGGCTCCTCTTCTTCCAGGGGGTTTACAACAGAAACTACACAGTTGTGCTTGGCAAAACCAGATAAAGAAGTGGACCAAGTGGGCTGCCAGGTTTTTGCAGCCCTGCCAGTGCCACCACTACTGAGGGGAAGGAGAGAGCAGCTCCCTCAGTGCTACCAACAGGGAGCTGAGAGGAGAAGCCAGGACAGGGAATTCCTTATTGCCTTTAGGGGTTCATGGTCCCCAATGTCCTCAAGCTGAGAGTCCAGATGTGCTTCCAAAATTCCTCCCCCCCCCCCCCCCCAAAGCTGTCTCCTACAAAGGATAATCCTACCTCATCCTAGAGCTACATCCTGCTCTTTCAGCAGAAAGCACATAGAAGCCAGGGTTGCCTCTGCCTTGACCCTTATTTTGGGCTGAGTGGCTGGACTGGGAGCAGCTGCGACCACTGCAGTGCATAGGGGCTGCCATAGGGCTCACTGCTGCTGGGCCTGGTGCCAATGGGATCCAGCAGGTCAATGGGAGGTCATAGCATGCTCCTCAAGTGCTGTGTCCCCTGTGCAAGACGGGTGGAACGTCCTGGAGTGGACCATCAAGCTGGATGAGCCCCAGACAGAATCTGGAGGGGGATCCCTGTCCCTGGAGATGCTCAGATGTGACAGTGGGAACTGGGCAGCCACCAAGTGGGGGCCAGACCCCCCTTTTCCAGATTCGCCTTCTCTCCCCATCCCATATGGCAGCACTGCCCCACAGCTATAGGGGTACCCACAGCCTGGCCCCTGCAGCCTTGCACCAGCCCCACTTCCCTGAGCCAAGCTGCCCTCCCCATGGGGCTCCCCATGCCTGCACCCCCAGCTCGCCCCTCCTGCCCAGCCCAGGCTGGGTGCTGAGTGTGTGCTGCCTTTCCTCCCTGCCTTGGCAGAGCCCAACTACTCCTCGGTGTAATTGGCCTCAGGAGGGCTCGGCTGTTCCTGCAGCTTCTGTGCAGCTCCTCTCACCACCCTGCACCCAGGAGGGTTCTGAAGCCACTTGTGGTTCTAAGGGTGTCTTTAGGGCCAGGTGAGGACATGGCACAAGCAGAGGGATAATCAGAGAATCATGGAATCAACCAGGCTGGAAAAGCCCTTAAAGCTCATCAGCTCCAACTGTTCCCCAGCACTGCAAAGGCCACCACTAACCCATGGCACTGAGGGCCTCATCTACATGGTGTGTGAACACTGCCAGGGATGGTGATTCCACCCTTTCCCTGGGAAGTGAGGCCCAGATACCCATACTATGTCATCTGCAGGGAAGGGTGCTCCAGGGGGTGGGAGCAGCTCCCAGGACTTGGTCACCCGTGTGCAGCACAGGTACTGCGTACCCATTGCCACACAGGTGGTGGTTTGTGCCTCAGTTTCCCCATGGGGAATTGCTGTCCTGCCATGAAGGGGGATGATGGCACCCAGGTACTGGTGGGTGTGCAACCAGGGCTGGGCGGGTGAGATGTCCCCTTCCTCTAGGAGAGGGTCAGGCAGAGGAGGAGGGAATCAAGGAGGCAAAAGGGGTTTTTTTCTTCTCAAAATTTCTTTTCTTTCTTTTTTGTTTTAATTTGTAAAGAATGTTCCATGAAAAAGGTTCAATTGCACACACATCTCTGCAGGTCTTCAGCATCAAGATAGAGGCCCCCAAACAGGAAAGTATAAAACAACAGATAAAAATAGAAGCATCACCAATACACATAGAAGCATCTATGCTGGCCCCCAAAGACCTGCATGAGCCTTCAGCCCCTGGTACCCAGGCAAAGCAGCAGCCCCACCCTGAGCCCTGCTGCTTGTATGAGCTGAAGATCTTGGTTCTTTATACCCAGGAGGATGCAGGACTTGACTTGTGCTCTCACCTCCACAGTTCCAACCCTCTCCCCAAATTTGGGTGGAAATCAGTCCAAGGGTGATCGGGTTGTTGTTTGAAAGGCTTGTTTATTGATTCTTACACTACAGCTCTACTCTTGCTAAATCCTATTGTTCCTATGAAAGGTCCTAAGTGCTTTAGTAACAAAAAAAGAAACTCTTTCCAATCTTCCAATTCTATTTAAGACTAAAACATACCACTAAAACTACAACTTCTACTTCCTCCTACCTAAAGGCTACTCTTAACTCTAAACCTATAGTGAAGAGAGGTAAAGAATCCAGTTCTTGAGATCTTCAAGTCAAGTTCCAGCAGCATTTGGCTTCGCTCCCGAAATGTTCATTTGCAGATACCAGCCATGTTCTCACTGCACAGAGCTTCAGTTGGTGTCAGTCCCAATAGCTCTCCCAGATGGATGTGACTTCATTTCCCCTGCCATCACCATAGCCTGCTGCACACACAGTCTGAGCTCCTGGATGGAGGCTTCATGTGGATTTCTTTCCTCCTCGGTCCCACCTGGGAGCATGGAATGTGAAGTGACCCAGTTGCCACCAATCAATGGCCATGCCACGGTGTTTCCTTATGGCACAGCCTTAACCGGGGTCCTTCATCAGCCACTCGGAGCCTGATGGATGAGCAGAAGTGGAGAGCAACAGTCTTGGAGCAAAAAAGCAGAAAGGGGTGAAAGGCAGAGAGGCTTCATGGTGATATAAACCCTTCAGCAACCACAGCAAGGATTTGGGGTGCAAAAATGACAGAAGCCAGTTCTGGGAGCATCCTGCTCAGCTCCTGCCAGGACCAATCCCTGGCTCCTTGCCATGTTGCTGCTGCTGCTGCTGCTGCAGGAATCTTCCCTCCTATAGTGCTGGTTTATGGAACAAGCCTTTAAACAGTGGTAATATAAACCAACCCCAAAACTGTATTTTCCCTATCCCCCCCACTAGGAAGAAATTCTAATGCTAAAAATATAGGTTTCTTTGAATATATAATATATAATAGATAATATAAAACCATCTAAAGAGGCAGCCTTGGTGAATTGATAAACCTTTTCTTCTTCCCTAGGCACAAGTCAGGAGGGAGCTTGAACTCCAGAAGCCATAAGGGACATCTATTGGCTGCTAATGATCATACTGTACCTACCAACTACTCTGAACAAGGGAAGAGAAACAGCGAGCAAAAAAGGTAAGGAAATTGCACTTATTCTATCAAGTCCTAAGCCACCAGGAATCTCATGTCTTGGGTGGGATTTAGCAGGTGCTTCTTCTTTAGCCCTGAAGGAATAGATGTCCATTTCTATGGATAAAATCAAATGATAATTCACATTTCTTCCTTTAAAAGTAAAAAAATAAGTACTGTTATAATTCTTCTCTTGAGGAAACTCATGAATTAGTGATTTGATGTGTCCTTTAAGGATATACCAGTTTGTGTGATGGTGGTTCGTCCCCCCTCCCCCAAATGTTTTTATGTGTAATCTTAAAAGGTGGCAAAAGTCACTGTGGATGTTTCTGTCTCTAGAAAATGTTGTCCCTTTAAGTCCCAGCAGCATTTGGGGGGGGGGCACAAAGTCTGCATGGGCTTTAAATGGGGACTGGTGTCTTATACAAGGGTGGTGAGGCTGGTCCAGTTGCCCTCCTCCGCTGGCAAAGAGGCGTCACAGGCTTCAAAGAGCTGGTCAATGTTGACACAGTTGGAGAGGCAGTCGTTTGTGCCTTCATCCCAGGGGTTGTCCAGGAAAGCTGCAGCCATCAAGGCTTCATCCAGGTCTGGGTCGGTTTGGTTGGATTCGGTGAGGGCCTGCTCCTGCCCCTGGGGACCGTCGATGTGGCCGTGTGCCTCCAAGTCCACATCACCTACGATGGGATCGATTGGAGGCGGGAGCTCCAGGTTTTCAAAAGCTGAGAAGTTTTCATTCAGGCTGGCGCTGAAGATGGCTGACCAATCAAAGTCACCTTTGAGGGACCCCAGCTCCGTCTGCTCCTCCTGGGTCAGCAAGGGAGAGCTGGAAACACGAGCTACCTTGGCCGTTCGGTTGGGCAGGGGCTTCTTGTGCTTGCACCCCACTTCATCATTGACTGGATTCATGTTCTGGCTCTCGGTGAGTTCTTCAAACTCCTTCAGCAGCTGCTGCGACTCCATGTTGACGTTGAGGATGTTACTGGAGGTGCAAACCAAAGAGGATGAGCTGGTGGTACATGGTGGATCCTGCTGGGTGTTTTGGGTGAAGGCCGGCTGGGTCTGCACAGGGGGCACTTTCCGCTTCTTGAAGGCACCGTTCTTGAGCCGGTCGGCGTACTGGGGGTCCAGCTTCCAAAATCCCCCTTTCCCTGGTTCACCCTTCTCCCGAGGCACCTTGATGAAGCACTTGTTCAAGGAGAGGTTGTGCCGGATGGAGTTCTAGAACCAAAAAGAGAAAGAAAGCCAAGGCTGAATGTTGGTCAGCTGCCCCAGCACCTACCTGCATGGGGAGATGGGTGGACAAATGTGTTTTCAGCAAGGACCTTGGGGAAAAAGAAGGCAGAATCAGCAACATCAGGGCATCCAGGGCTACATGCTCAACAGAAACTCCCCTGAGTCACCAGCAGTGTTCTTGTCTCCTGTCTAACCCAACCAGAGGTGGCAAGAGCCAAGGGGTTCAGGCTGCGACTTGCCAACCAGCAGGAAGCTTTTGGGCCACTCTCCTTGGCTATAAACTGAGGCCATGGGGCTTTGGATCATGCAGAGCACTGGGAGAAACTGGCCAGACGTGCTCTAGGCATGGAGCTAAGGGTCCTCCCTCACAGCTAAGGAGGAAGAGGAGGCTCTTTACACCAATGTGACTACAGCCCCATGACAAGTGGCAACACATGGCAGTCCCACACGTGAGGGCATCATCAGGGCCTTCCTTCCATTCCCCAGTTCTTCTGGGCCTATTGCTAGTGTTGAAGGGAAAATATTTGGGCAAAAACTAGGCACCAGGCAGGTAAACCAAGGAAGCTAACGTGGAATCACTGCATCTTCCTCAGCCACTGCTCAAATGAGCTGAGGGAGAGTCAAAAATGGGAATAAAAAAGAAATAGAGGAATTTCTGTTCCTGTTGAGCTGTTCTGACCCCCTGAATGTGCCTGGAGCGATGTGAAGAATCAGAAAGGGAACTCAGTTATTGGGTAAATAACCCTGCATTGGGCTCCACAAAGCCAAGACTGTATTAAGAGATTGGATATGGTAGAGGCTTTTTTTTCCCCCTAATGTTGCCTGGATATCTTTATGCTTATTCACCCATAATCCGTAGTGCCGAGGAGGAAAAACAAGGCTTGAATGCTTGGAGCTGGTGAAAAACACACACACACACACACACACACACACATACACACACCAAAACCCTCCTCTGGGCTGAAGCTCCTCGGGTGTGTTGGCTCCTCTCCAAAGCACTCAGCTCCCACAGGAATAGATCCATCTCCCCCCGGAGGATGGGTGGCATGACCTTTCTAGGCTGTCTTCAGTACAGGAATTGGGAGAGAGAATGAGAAGAGAGCCTCAGAAAGAAAGGAAAGAGAAAAGGGAAAGAAGAGAATAAGGGAAGAATAAAGGAAAAAGAAAAGAAGGAAAATAAAGAAAGGAGGAAAAGAAGAAAGCAGCAGCAGGACACAGACATCCTGAAACAATCCAGACTGGTAACTCCAGATTTACAGCTTAACTGAGTTTTACAAGGCTCAGAGACTCACAGGCTGAATTCTCTGCTCCCCCTCTCCCCTCCTCATCCCAAACCCACTCCAGCCTTCCTCCCTGGTTAGCATAGTTGTCATTCCTGCCCGCAGCAGTGCTGTGCCCCCCCCCTGCACCTCTGGGCAGGGATTGGAAACCTTCTTTCTTTTATTCATCAACACATTTAATTAAAACTGGGGTATTTATCCATGGGTTCACAGGAGCAAGTCAACACATTGGCACAGCTCCTCCTCCTGTGCTTCCCCCCAGCTCAGGGGAGGTTGGGGTGGCCCTGGAGAGGGACCCTTCTCCATGGTGGCCTTCAAGAAGCTGCTGGAGACCCCCCTGCCTGAGGGCAAGGTGGCCTGGTTTGCCCAGCCCTGCCTGGGTAACACCATTGCCAGGATCACTGGCACACTGTGGATTTGGGCTGGGAATAACCCAAGCAGAGGGACGAGCCACCAGGTCCCTCCTGCCCTGCCACATCCTACAAACCACACATGCCAGAGGTCCCCTTGTGTGACACAGGAAGGCAGCAAGCCAAGCTGGCTGGGAAAGCCCCTGTGCTTCAGGCTGTCCCTAAAGCTGGGGAGCCCAGAGGCTGTCCTATACCTAATGGGGACATGCTGGTGCTAGGCTGGGGACAGCAGCCCTGTTTGACCTCTCTTGGGCTTCCCTTACAGTGATGGACCAGAGACCTGCCCTGCTTCGAAAGCAGTAGCACTTCTGCTCTGAACCTCCTCAAGGATGGATTTGTCCAGCAAGCAGCATCTCCCCAAGAGTCTTCTCCATCCTTCTGCTACTCCTGGTCCTCAGCACCCAGAGATACTCACCCTGGTGACTTCACATGTGTTCAGCCCCAAGAGACTCGGGACCCCACAAGAATCCTGAAAGGTGGAGTCGGGGACAGAGACATTTTCACACCAGAGCCAAGAGGAGTCGCAGGGACTAGCAGGTACCTCCCTGTTCCCAAAATGGCCCTGGGCTCTCCCCTGTAACGGCTCCTTCCCTCTGCTGGCCTCATGGTTGTGGCATTTCTGTGCCCCTATTACAGCCGTTCCCCACCAGCTGTCCTCCCAGTGGGATCCAGCATCCCAGTGGGACCTTGCCTTGCATGGTGGAGGCTGTGGAAAGCCCTCTTCAGCCCTGCAAGCAGAGGGGACAGGGCAAGAGGTCTCCAAATCTCCTACCTGCCAGGTGGGATCAGCATGTCTGAAGTAGCAGAAGTTGTCAGTAATCCACTTGTAGATGGCAGCAAGGGTGATCTTGGGCTTCTCACTGGCTTCCATTGCCATGCAGATGAGGGTGGCATAGGAGTAGGGTGGCTTGGCCTGCGGGTTGGTCTTGTAGTCGATGCCTTCTATGAGCTGAGGGTTCATGGCCACGATGGTGTGTGCTGTCCTCGAGGTGGATGAAGAGATGGGCTTGCAGGGGGTGTGGGGCACGCCCATGCACGCCGGGTCAGCGGCCAGGGGTGAGCACGGGGCAGCAAAGCTGGGGATCTTCTGATAGTCGTGGGGGTCCGGCCCAGTGGGGCAGCAGGAAGACTTGCCCATGCTGGCACTGGTGATGGAGAAGTCCTGCAGCCACATGAGGCTGGTCAGGCTGTCATCCAGCGCATCAAACTCATCCAAGGTGCCCATCTGCAGTCTCTTCCTCCTCTCCCGCACACGTTTGGACCACACGTCAGCGATGCCTTCGTTCTGTACCGGGTTCTGCATTTGCAGGGTGTGCAGATACAGAAGGGAGGAGATGGGGCAGATCCTGCAGCAACAACAGGGAGAGAGTTGGAGACTCCCTGAGGTGCAGCCACTCTCTGGCACCTGGGCCTGGGTGCTCTGGGTGCTGCTGGGTGAGCCCCATCCCCAGGGTGCTGCGTGCTGGAGCCACATCGACTCCCCTGCAGTGCTTCAGCAGCCCTGAACCTCAAACTGCTGCACCCCCCCCCCCCCCCCCCCCAGTATGCCCCAATCCAGGTGTCCCAGCACAAGCCTTGGGCTGAAGAGCACATCAATTTATAAATAAATAAAATTAAAATTTAATTATAAATAACTATAAATAAATATTTATTTATAAATAAAATTATTTTAAACATATAAAACTTATTTATAAATAAATATTTGTATTTATAAATATTTATAAATCAATAACACCCACACCCCCTTTAAACAACAAACTCCATCCCTCAAAGGGAGGATGCTTTTCCCACTTCCCCCAGCAGGACAAAACCTCAAGGTCCAACCGCTCGACAAAACAGCTTCAATTCCCCATCACCATCACCACCACCACCACCAGCATCCCTCGGGTTTGGGCTGTTGCTGCTCTCCCCCTTCCCCTGGTCTCCCTAACCCACCCCTGGAACTGTCCCCCAGGCACACCCTCACTCAGAGCAGCCGGTAGATTCGAGCCCCGGTTATTCCCAGGGCAGGAGCAGGTGTCTGGTCTCGCTGCTGGGCTGGAACTCCCAAAATCCTGAGGTTTGGAGGCGAGGAACCTCTCCCGTGCGACCCGCAGCGGCGCGACCGCACCGGCTTCAGAACGGTTCGAATCCCGTTCTGCTCAACGGCCGCAGGGAGCGCGGGACGGGGCGCGGGGCCGGAGGGGCGGGGACAGTAGAACACCGGCCTCGCTCCAAATAAACGGGCTCCCGCCGCCAATCCCGAACTAAAGGCTCGGGGGGCAGCGGTTACGGGTTGGGATGCTCCGGTTCCAGTGTCCCCCCCTCGCCCCGGCGCCCGCGGCGGGGTGAGCGGGACCGGAGCCGCTCGTTGCGGCGCGTGTGTTGGGGGGCGTAAAAAGGATGGAAAAGGAAGTAAAACCCAGGACGATAAGCACACCCAGGGACACGCACAGAGACACAGCACAGCCGCATCCACACCCCCCCAGTGCAAACCTACCGCACCCGCGGGCGCTCCCCCCGCGCTGCGCTGCCCCTCCCGCAGCCCCGCAGCTGCCGCAGCCCTTACCCGGCCCGGCGATGTCCCCGCTGCTTCCGAAGTTCACGGGAGAGCAAAAAGCGCTGGGGAAAATCGGGGGAAAACAGGGGAAAAAAAAGGAGAAAATAACACAAAAAAAAAAGAAAACCGGAGCGGCGGTGCCGGGATGCGGCGGGGGGGATGCGGATTCAGCTCTCCCGCCCGGTGGCGGTGCGGGCCCTGCCCGCCGTTCCGCCGTGATTTCCCGGCTTCCCGGGGGCTGCTGTTAAGTAGCTGCTCCGAAAGGCTTCTCCTGTTGTCACGGCGACGCTCCGCCCCGTAAACAGCTTCCGGGCCTGCCACTGGTCCCCGCGTTGTCATGGGGAGCACGAGGGGACCTGCCCCTTTAGGTTGAGATTTGGGCATTTAGGGGCCAGAGGCCTGGCTGGGGATGCTCGCAGTTTGGAGGTGGGCATGTCTGTGGTACCCAGGGATGCTGCGGGGCTCCACCGCAACCCAGCACAGCACCAGCACACCCCAAACCTGTATCCGGGCCACCCCCCTCGGCTTGGCAGAGGGGCAGCCCCATCCCTTTTCCTCCTGTCTGTGCCCCCAACCTGCTTCTGACACCTGACAGAGTCCACAGCGATGACAGCAAAGCTGACAGGGGGTTGGCAGCCCCCCAGATTAAAGGGAGGGGTCCCCCTTTATTAGTTAAAATTATTACAGCTATATGCTTCTATAAGAAATCCCTATGTTCCCCCCACCACCAGCCCAAAGGATCCCAGTGAGGGACCCCCTCCCTGACCAAGGGGGCAGGGAGCAGCCGTGAATCCCAAGAGAAGCCTGTTTGGGAAGTCTGTTTCCACCCCACAGCACAAGGCTTTGCCCTTTGAGAAGTGGGGGGCTTGGGGGGACTTGGGGAGGTTTAAGGCTTCTCCTGCGTCTGCCCACAGGGAAAGAGGGTTTGGGAGCAGCCAGACTCACTCTCAGGGGCTGAAGCACGTGTACATTTAGTGGTTTTCCTGCCAGGATCCCCAGGGATTTAGGCAGGACAAGCTGGGGGGCAGGCAGGTGTCAGACCCTCTCCCCAGATACCCCTCTGCTCCTGCTCATCCCTGGTGGAGGAGGCAGCTCCCAGGGGAGTGGAAATTTCTGTTTCACTTTTCCACAGGTGACTATCCAGCAAACACCCACCCCAAAGCTCAGGGTCCTGCCCTCTGGACAAGTCAGTTCCCTCAGGAGCAGGACCTGCTCCTGCAGGAATGCCCCCTAAGGCAGAGTCCAAGGGCTTTCCTGAGCAGCCCGGGCACAGCCCCACAGGCCTCAGTTCTCTTCCTCTCCTTTTGGAGGATCTGGCCACCTCAGGCCCTCCCCAGCAGCTGCAAGGTGCTTCCATAACAAGGACATGGAGCTGCTGGAGCAAGCCCAGGGGAGGCAGGGCTTGGAGCACCTCCTGTATGAAGGCAGGGTGAGAACACTGAGGGACCTTCATCATGGACTGTAGTGATAGGACAAGGGATGATGGGTTCAAACTGAAACAGGGGAAGTTCAGGTTAGATCTAAGGCAGCAGCTCTTCCCTGTGAGGGTGCTGAAGCGCTGGCACAGGGTGCCCAGAGAAGCTGTGGCTGCCCCATCCCTGGCAGTGTTCAAGGACAGGTTGGACAGGGTTTGGAGCAACCAAGTGGAAGGTGTCCTTGCCCGGGGCAGGGGGTTGGAACTGGATGGGGTTTAAGGTTCCTTCCAACCCAAACCATTCCATGATTTTATTATTCCCCCATTGTGCATCACCCCCTCCACTAAAACTGCATTCTAACCCCCCTTATGACCCTCCTCACCTTTCAGGTATCAGCCCCCGGTATGAGTTTTCCTCCCCAGCACTGGAGGGGTTTCTCCTGCAGGAGGACCCAGCTCTTCTCCTCCAGGAAGTCTCCTCTGGGTGTCCTCATCCATCCCAGCAGTGCCAGGGACCCCCTGCCTGGCCATCCACACCGCAGCCCAGCCCCTTCCTGCAGAGGCTTTGTTTGCATTTGCACCTTCTCCATCCTAGCAGTGCTTGGGGAAGGCAGGGGGTGGGCTGGAAGCGTTTGGAAGCGTTTTAGGAGATTTGAAGCAGCTGGGCTGGTTCTGGGGAGGTTCCTGGGTGGATGCTCCCACCCAAAAAGTGTTTCCACCCACCACATCTCCAGCTGCTCTCACCTTGTCACCACGGAAGGACTCTGGATGCTTTGTTGACATAAGATGCCCTTTATTAAACATACTCTGAAAATCCAAAACATGCTCAAAGCAGAGTTCAGAAGCAGCAATCTGGTTTCTTTCCCTAAATCCCTGACAGCTGGATCACTGGAACAAGGGCTATTGCCTTTTACCAGCAGCTCCTGCCTACCCCTCGTCCCTTCTGGGTGGCTTGAGGACAGCACTGGTGCCACCTGCACCCAAATCCCATCTCTCCTGTGCCACCAGTGGAGGATGCTCATTTCTTTGCTCGCTCCTCCTGGCTCCTCTCCACCACCATGTGCATGCCACCAGCTGTGGGATGGGACATGGGACAGCCACCCTGGGAGCTAACTTGGGGACACACAGCTCAGAGCAGCCAGAAAACCCTCCAGGGACCCTCCTGAGCAAGGACCTGACCTGCCAGCAGCCACAAGCACTGCCACAGCCCTACACCATGATGGTGTAGAGCCTGGAGAGCTCTTCTGGACCCCTTTGAAGCCACAAGGAAGGTTTGGCTTTGGTAGCTGAGCCACCCCTGGAGCATCATCCTGGTTTTTCCATGCTGGGGGTTAGGGAAGAGCCAGCCTCCCACAGCCCCCTTGGTCCTCTCAGCTCAGCGTGGCAGTGAACCCCCAAAGCTCTCATTGTGCCCAGTGTGGTGATGCTGGCTCCTGGGGCCAGCACTCCCAAACCCCATGGGTTGCCCCACCATGGCACTGGGCAGTGTGTCCCCACGGGCCACACACCATGTCCCCAAATGGCTGCCAGGCTCTTCCCCACCACAGCTCCCCAGTGGCAGCAGCTCCCATCCCACAGATGGAGATGTCACCCCCCATCAAGCACCCAGCCCTGAGTTTCCAGGGAGGAATCTGGGAGCTGCTGAGCTTACAGGAGTCATGGTGGGGTGCCAGAGCAGAGGAGGGTGGCCAGCATTGACCCCACCTCCAGCAGGACCCACACTATGAAGTGAGGGACATGAAGTGAGCAGCAAACACCTCCCAGCCCCATAAAGGGCTTTATCTCCCTTTAGCAGCAACAGCCATCAGCATGGCCTGTGCTGCACCATGGGGACAGTGGTGGGGACCTGCTCCCTGCATGCTGGGGATGTTGCTTTCACTGGATGAACATCTCTGTCCTAAGGGAGCTCTGAAATGCAGCTTCCTTCTGCAAAGAGGAGGTGGCCTTTGCTGTCACATCTGCCTGAGAAAACCAGGTGGGGAAAGAGGGGGGCTCAACCTCCCACCCTGGGCTCACTCAAACAGCTCCAAGAGCTTGCTGGATTGGGATGTTGGGTCTGATGCTCCTCAGGGTGCCTTCTGCCTCTTCCTGGTGCTCTCTGGAGTGGAGCCTGGCCTCTGCCAATGGCCCCATCAGGTCCCCGAGCTCTGTGGCTGCGTCCCTACCCCACTGCTGTCCCTGTGTTCCTGTCTCCTGGAGCAAAACCCACTTACGCTGCGAGGCCAGGGCTGGCCAGAGGGATGGGGCTGGAGGAGTGGGGCTGGAGGGATGGGGAAGCAGCTCCCACACCCTCATCCACCCCCTGCTACAAAGTGCGATGGAGAGGGCAGGCCAGGGGTGACACGTTTGGCACTTGTTCCAGAGAGAGGGCACAGCCCCAGCCCCGTGCCCCCCCCCACTGGAAGACAGTGAGGTTAAACTGGCCATGTCCCTGGGGCTGGTGACCGGGGGGGGGGGGGGGTGTCCCAGGTCCCCTGGCCACCCTGCTCCATCCCCTGGGGAAAACAAACTCATGGGCCAGGCCCTAGAGCCCACGTGCTGCCCAGGGTGGAGAGCAGAGGGACAGGGAGCCCCAGGGGCACCATCCCCACCAGTGCACTAATGGGGACAACCCCACAGCATGGGGTCAGCGAACCTGGGGGGGTGCCAGCCCCCCATGAAGGTCACTGGCTTGCGTAGTGAGGATGCCAGTGCCAACATTCATCCTTAACCTGCACCCCTGGGCATCGTGCACCTCTGGCAACATCCCAGCACACCCTTTGTGGGGTGACCCCATCCCATGTGCTCTGCACACCGGAGGAGAGAGGCCTGGGGATGGGTGTGAGATGGCCGGGGGCAGGAGGGGACCCCAGACCATCCCCATCAGGGCTGGAGGATGGGAAGGTGCCGATGGGGGGGCTCTGAAGTGATGTGGTTCTCAGGGCCCTGCTCTGCACAGCGGGGCCAGGCAGGAAAAGCCCACATTACCATCTTGTCTTTGGAAAAGCAGTCCCACCACAGGCAGGGGAGGGAGGTGGCGATGCCTGCGGTGCCCGGACCCCTCTGTGTGCATGAGGGGTGCGTGTGCCCCTGCTGAGGCTGAGCCCTCACACAGGGGTGGCCGCTGCCTGCTCCAGGTCCTGGGGGCCGGGGGGGCAGCAGGGCCGGGGCGCCTGCTGCAGCCGCACGTTGTTGTTGGCTGCCTCTGGGCCTGGGGCGAGAAAACAGGGGGTTAGGGGCTGCCAAAGCCACGGCAGCCTTGGGCATCTTCCCATGGGATGCAACACAGTCTCCCCAAGTGGCACCCACCTCCCCAGCCAACCCCATATTGGGTTTCAGTGAGGGCTAGCGGGTGCCTGCACTTACCTCTCCAAACCAGGGGAGCCCCTTGAACCTCTGATTTCTCGGGAATGCTGAGGGGCGAATGGGAAGCACAGTGCACCACGGCCGGGTTTTAATAACCCACATGGAAGGGGGCTGCCTCTGCCCACCCATGCCCAGTAAGAGGGCACTTACAGGCGCCCCATGGGGGCTGCAGGGTAGGCTGGGGTGTCACCCAGCAAGGGGACTGCCAGGGGCACCAACCCCCCGGGGTGACCGGGCACGAGGCGGGCGCAGGCTCTGGGTGTCTCGTACCTATTCCTCAATGTTAATGGGGCAGGAGTCCGGCACAGCGCCTGCGTGGCAGGAGAGACCAGAAGGCACGTGGTGAAGGGGGGAGCAGAGTGGGACCGGGGGCACATGCACACGAGCGAGCAACCGGGGTGACTGGGGGGAATGAGGGGCTCGCTGCCCGGGAACAGGTCTGGGATGAGGACAGGGAGCCACCGACGGGGCAAGGGGGACGTCATGCGTGGGCTTGTGGCAAGGAGAACCGAGGGGGGGGACATGCTCGTGGCACAGGGAAGCTGGGTCCCCACATGCCCCACCTCGGGCTGCAGGCTCCTGGTGCAGGCAGCACCCTCCAGCCAGGGCAGGGTGATGGGCAGAGCTGGGGACCTGCCTGTCCATGGCCTGTGTCCCAGAGGTTACGTGGTGCCCCTAGGAAGGGGATGCACCCCTAAAGCAGGGCGGCTGCTCCCCCCCAGTGAGGTGAAAGCCCTGTGCCCAAGGCTCGGGGCAGCTCTGAGTTGAGGGGGGCCATGTGAGGGCACCCCAAGGCCAAGGCCAAGTGCTGAGGCTTTCCCAAAGAAGGGAGCAACAAATCCCTGCTGCCTGCTGACGTATGGGAGGGGGCAGCTGCTGTTCCACTGGCTTTCCATGGCAAGCTCAGGCTGGAGAGCAAGGCATGTTAAGCCTGCAGATCCCAAAGGGAAGGGATAGTTAAACAGGACCACACAGAACACACACCCCCCAAAATCCCATTAAGAGCTTGACGCTGCATCAGTCACTGCAGCGCCCTGGAGCACAGACCCAGCTCAGCTCAGCGCACCCTTGGGTGGCTGCTGAGGAGCAGGGTTGGGAAGCAGGATCTGGCCAAGGCCGTGACCACAGCCACCTGAGCCATGGGGACAGCCCCTGCAACCTGCTGCTCACTCCAGGGCTCTGCAGGGTCCGCAGGGACACAGGTCTGCGGGTTGGATTTAAACCTCGTGTCCCCAAATCCCGGGATGTGGCCTTTCCACTCCTCCCAAAGCCCTTTCCCACCAGCCTGAAACCTGCAGAGATTTCACAAGAGCTTTGAGGAACCCTGCGCCTTCATCCATTATAGAGAGAGCAAAACCCAGCCCATGGGTCTATCCAGGTCTAACCCCACAAGAGAAACTGAGGGAGAGACAAATAACAACAATAATGATGTTGTCATCTCTGCTCAAGGTGATTTTCTTCTAAGCTTCCAAGAAACCAGTGCCTGGCCCCAAAATAAAAGTTGCCCCTGTTCTTGCTGGCCCTGGGGATGTGGTCACATCCAGACCTGCAAGAAATCTCTGCCAAAAAGGACTATTTCAGTGCATGCAAACCAGCCCTGCGACTGCAAACCAGCACCACCAGCGTCCGACTGTGCCCCACAGGAGCTCCAGCACAGCTGGAGGCTGAATGCCCCAGGGCAGGAGGAGCAGAGGGACAGGGGAAGGAAGGATCTGCCCCGAGCTGAAGGGACAAACCCAACACTGATCGCAACCAGGAAACCACCATCACAGCCCCCGGGTGGCTGCTCCCCTCCGCTGCCCCGGCTCCCCGAGCTCTTCCCATGGGAATCCTGCTCCAAGCACCTTAGCACTGAGCTCACGTCCCTGGGGTTGTTCCCTCTGGCCCCCAGTGACCACGGGCAGCCCCAAAGCCTCAGCTCCCGCTTATCCCTCTCATGCTTTCCCATCCCTGCCGAGGGCTCCAAGCAGTGCACACGTGGTGGCCAAAGGATGGAGAGAGCATCCTTGGCTGGGCTCAGCGCAGGGGCCACATCCTGCACCCCAGCCCAGCTGGGGGACAAGGCCATTGCAGTCCTCACAGCAGAGCAAGAGTCAGACCCGTGCAGGGCTGCAAAGCTGCCCCTTCCTCATCCTCCCCCTG